CAAAGAATTTTAGAAAGTGTGAGAAGACCTTTCAGTAAGGATTTGAATGAGTGAAGGAGCTGACCTTTAGGAATCTGCCTCTAGGCAATAGTGAGAAAGATGGTGTCAATACCAAAAATCTAATGGGCAGCAGGGATGGGAGTGAGGGAAAGCTTGTAGGTCCCAGGTCACAAGGTCCCTGAAGTCTTTTTGACTTCTAATCAAAATAAGACAGGAAGCATAGGCTGATTTTTGGCAGAAGAGAAATGATCTGCCCTATTTCATTAGATGAGAACTTCCATGGCAGCAGCTGTTCTGACCCATTGGTATTGTACAATTTCTCAAGATGCTTAACAAAGCCCTTCTTATACAGGATTTACTTTTGCTAGTTTTATTAAAATATATTCATTGTACAGGAGAGATTCATCGTGACAATTCTAAGTAGGCTTATGTGACACATTGATTACATCGTCCCCATGGTCTCTCATCCTCAAACCCTCTCCAGCCCACTTAAAGCAATTACAAGAGGTTTCTGTGTTCTATTTCATATAAGTATATGAAGTCTATCAACCATATCCCCTCACTTAATCTCCTTTATTCATCACTCGCTCCTCCCACAAGTCCCCCCTCACCCATATGTACCTATTTTACAGTCTTCTCTTTTGTTATTAATATTTACGTCATGTTCAATATGTTTTCTCAATATTTCCCTGCTGTGAGTATAATGTATTTGGCCCATTGATCCCCTTCCATTGATCTCCCTTACCCTTTAAACTCCCACCCCCATTTTTTAAACAAATTTTAATATTCATCCTTATATCTTCTACCTTCACAGTTGTTATGTTTTATGATATTTTTGATACTCTGGTATTCTCTTTTTCTTTCCCCGCAAACCCAATTTCCATAAAGGCAGTTTCACTTCTGCAAAGGCTGTGCATAAGTTTGTATATCATTGTGTTTGTTTTTGTGTATATATTTATTTTTGGATCTATCTTCCATGTACAAGAGAAAATATGTGGCCTTGTCTTTCTGAGCCTGGCTTAATAACTTAGCATGATTACTTCCATTTACCTCCAATTGCATCCATTTACCTTCTGACCGTCTATTGTTGTCATTCTTCCTTCTGGTTGAGTAAAACTCAATTGTATATATACCACATTTTCTTGATCCATTCATGAGTTGTAGGTCACCTGGGATGTTTCAAAAGCTTGGCCATTGTGAATAGTGCTGCAATGAACATCAATGCACAGGTGTCTGCCTTGTGTCCTGACTTACATACATTCCTTTGGGTGCATGCCCAGGACTGTTATCACTAGAACATATACTATGATCCAGTGATATATGATATCCAGTGATATATGATAGTATATGATACTGAATCATATATTATGATCATATGTACTAATTTGCATTCCAAACAATAGTGCATGAGGCTTCCTTTGTTCTGAAGCCTTGCCAGCATTTGTTGTTGATAATACCCATGAATATGGCTGCATTCACTGCGATGAGTTGAAATCTTAGCAACACAAGTTTCTTACTTATCTTCCTCCTCCAGACTTGATGCATGCATGTCCACTTGAATTGAAGCTGAACTAGCAAAAAAACCTTACCCCTCATTCCTTAATTCTATTATGTTTTTCAAATTATGTACAAAAGTTACTAAAATAATTATCACTAAGCCAGTAGGCTCCCAAAAGTGTCAAGGTATAACCTCTTCCATTAATAGATCATAGAAACAATTCCTTTTATTCAACTAAAATACTCAGAAACAAAACCACATAATGCTAAAACTGAATTCAAACACAATTAGATTGTTTCAAAAAACGGGAAGAAAATCCATGAACAGGAATGAAAACAAGAGATGTGAAATGACTGTTATTTCATCCAGAAATAGAGAGCATATGTCAGCACTTAAATTCAACATTTATTTGTTAAATCACCTAGAGACCAAACATTCAGACCAAAAGGCCAGGAAGGGGAGCTGTGGATTTTCTCAGATGGAAGGAAGTCCCTGCAAAGTTGCTCACTGGTACATGTACAACACTGGAGCAGCTTCTTCCTTCCATGGGACAAATTTACAGCCCAGAGTGTCCTGTGTCCACTTCTGACAGTGTAACTTCTCTCAATGTTGACCACTTGTGTGGAAGGAAATAGTAAGAGAATTCTAGTTGCAGAAATCACTTCACAAACATCTCCCTTTCATGAAGAGTCCTCAGAAGGAAATTAAAGTCCACTAGAAAAACAGCTACAATTCTGAGATCAGGGATTCCTTCTGCTATTGATATTAAGGCACTGATTCCTCTCCTCTTCTTTGATCAGTTTCTCCTCACTTGCTGCCCATGTTGAAATAGATTTCAGACATCAGTCTTTGAAGAGATCCCTCAGCCTTTGTTGTTCAAATGAATACCAAGTGTGTGCTTTTGGTTTCATGGTCCAGTTCTCAGATCTGAGTTGACTCTGTAGCCTTCATAGCAGTGTCCCCAGTGGGGATAGTCACACTTACCCGTGTTCCACCCTGGAGCTGTCACCCAATGATCACTATCCATACTATTTTAGCATAAGCCTGACAAGGTTGTGAGGAGCATGAAATTTAACAGAAATGATGGCCCCCCCCCTAAACTCCTTCCCATTATTCTGGGTCCCTCTCAGGGATGAAGTCTGAACCTCTCAGGGATGTAGTCTGAGGACAAAGCTGGCTTGTGTACAGTGGTGTATTACACAGTGACAAAGAAAAATAACCAACCTAAACAAGCCCTTGGCATACTCTGAAACTGTGAGTGATTCTTGTGTGTATAATGACTCCTCTTCTGAGCTCCAATGGGGTCTAAATTAGAGAAAAGTGAACAAAATTCATTCAAATGACTCTTACCTCCTTTTTGTCCTTCAGTGGTGGGAATCACCTTGCCTAAACAGCTGCTAAGTAAGGAGCATTCACTCAATGAATTAGGACATAGACAATGCAGAATGAGCAAATGCCAAGTGAGAACACAGCTGGATGATGGTCAGTGCAAACCAAGAATGGGGTATCCAGGAGGAATGAAGCCTACTGACTACTTGGCCTTGCACTTAAAGTTTCCAAAAGAGGGAGAAAATAAATTTCTGTTGCTAAAGTCACCCTGTCTCAGCTTTTTGTTAGGCAGCGTTAACAATTCACTATACATCCTACTGTACAATGACAATTTTGAAAAATGTGGTTGTATGATTGGTTTTTTTATGTACAATTGAGGAATATCTGCAGTGACAGTCTTATTTTTACTGTACAAGAATTACCTGGTTTATTTTTTCTCTGAACCTGAGACACATTCACACACATTCTCCTCACTTGACCCACCTACCTTTCCTAACTGACCTCTCCAGATCAAGTTCATGCTTTGGTCACATACTTATAATGCAGGAGCAGTGAATGACACAAGGAGAAAGCAGGAATGGGCACTGGCCGTCAAGACTTCATCACTCCCAGGCACAGTGAACATTTCCTCCTGCCACCATGAGGCAGTGATGTCCTAGAGTCAATATCCTAGTGGTGTTGGAAATGAATGTGGATGCCCTTGCTGGAATATGCACTTGTACTGAAATTGTAGAAAAGCCCAGGAAGTTTGTGCCTTTCTTCTTGTTTCCCTCAGCTGAGAATTAGCTGCTGATTCTCATCTCCACTTTCAACATCCTCTTCATGATAGTCCCATTGTCTTCAAAATCCTGAAAAATCCTCCCTTCTGTCACAAAACATAACATTCAACATTTTTCGCTGTAGACAATGAAAGATATCTAATATTATAAAAGTGGAGCACATACATCACCATCCCACTATGCTATCCTAACATATCTCATGGAGAATCACTAGCCACCCTTCCCTGGCTCAGCCTCTCTTCAGAAAATGGAGTAGGTCTGATGTGGTTGCAGAACTTTCACATGGCATCAAGGATGAACAGGCACATTTTGCTCATTTTAAAGGAGTAGGATTAGGCTAAAGGACATGCAGGTTCAATGAGTCCACAGATTAGCATCATAGATTGGGATAAAAAAATGAATTCTGCTTACTCTGTCACCAGGATGCTTAAGCTACATTGTTCTTTTCTTGTTGTTTATTTATTCTACATTTTGTGCAAATATGATATAAATACATTGCAAAACACTGAAGAATAGATCAAAAATCAATTTGAAAAATCATAATTTTAAGATTTAATCAATTATTATTGTGCATGATTTTAGTGAGTTTATCACAGTGACTTAGATGTAAAGAACCTCATCAAAGTGGATTCAAAGTTGCAGAATGGAATTCAAAAAAAGAAAAAGCAATTTCCTTCTTAAAAACTCTAACCTCTAAGTCACTTCCTTCTAATGTCCAATTTCACCAGTAGAGTTGTGAGTTAAATTAGAACTAGGAAATACCAGGTCACCTTTCCCATTGGTCAGCTGTCAGGTATCACTCAGTGTAGCAATCAGAGGCTCCATGGCAACACTGGACATCAGTTTTACTTTTGGGCAAGATGTCACCCTTGAAGTACCACAAAAAAATGGGTCAGAGACGATTTGTTCTGATCCTATTCTCTCCCCAGAGCCGAGGATTGGATCTGGCTTAGGTGGGCATGTAATTAGTATTCTTTGAGGGGTTAAGACTGCCATGGAAATGTGAAAGTCAGGACAGGTGGCCATTACAGGCTCCAGGATTAGATGATGTAGCAGTAGCTTAATCTCAAGGATGACAACAAAGAGCAGAGGACTGTGAAGATTTTCTGAGACAATGGGAGCATGAGAGTTTGTAGGGCATGCAACTGGGTTCCTCACACAGGCTGTGACACAGGGATCAGGGAAGGATTTCTGACTCCTGAGGATGCAGTAGATGTCTGACCACAAGGGGGAGACAAACATTTGAAAATAAATTCATTTGAGTTGTCTCTCTGACTCCCCCTCTTGTTAATTACCAAGCTTGGTAGGGAGAAGATTTGCATGAAAGGGCGGAGTCTCAGCTGCCTAGAGATATGTTCAGCGGATAAGAGGATTGGAGCCCTGGCTCACCTAAGTGCCTGAAGAAATCAGCATCGGCGTCCATCATGACCTGGTTTCCTGTTCTGCTCATGGTCCTCCCTCTCTTCACAGGTCAGGTGGAGGCCCTGGTCAACTCCTCCAAAGAGGTCATAATGGTCCACCCTGCACCTGTCCCTATCCTTTCCCCTCAAAAAAGTCTCTTCTTTCCAACTGGATCTTTAATGGTGATCTCTCTTTCTAGGGTCCCTCTCCCAGCCTGTGCTGACTCAGCCACCATCAGCATCAACCTCTCTGGGACAAACAGCCAAACTCTCCTGCACCCTGAGCAGTGGCTACAGTAATTATGTGGTGGGCTGGTATCAGCAGAGCCCAGGGAAGAGCCCCCGGTTTGTGATGCTAGTCGGCCCTGGTGGCATAGTGGGAAACAAGGGTGCCGGGATCCCTGATCGCTTTTCAGGCTCAGGCTCTGGGCTGGATCGGTATCTGACCATCCAGAACATCCAGGCAGAGGATGAGAGTGTCTACCACTGCGGGACAGCTCATGGCAGTGGAAGCAGCTACGTGTAACCACAGTGACACAGGCAGAGGGGAAGTGAGACAAAAACCTGCTGGCTGATCTGCCCTGGGCTCACTTCCCTCCCCAAACCTGACTTCCTCTTGGGGAATGTTTTGACCCTTTGAGATTTTTTAATTTCCCAGATATATGGGAAGTGTAATTCACATTTAATGTTCCCTGAATGAACATATTTCCTCAGATGTGTTTGGAATATTTAGTTTCTAGTGGACATTTGTGGTTATTCACACTCATCAATGTCATTGTGGGATTTGGTGTAGAGTTCATGGACATTTTTAGATGTACATTACTAGTACAATTCCCCTATCACCATCTTTGTTCCTTTTGTACACAAGCTGTACTTGTGTGGCGACACAAATTGCTGAGTACTGCATATTTCCCAGAAGATATCAAATTTTGTCTTTTACCAATGGGATCACAAGTACATAAGTAATCAGCGTGGATTTCACTCACCTCCCATCACTTCCATGTGCAAACAGAAATAAGGGTATTGTGTGTTCATGCAGGTGTATGTGCATGAGAAAGAGAGAGAAGAAGGAAGAAGAAAGGGAGAAAGGAAGGAAGGAGAAATGAAGGAAGAAAGGAAGAAAAGACGATGAAGGAAGGATGAAAGAAAGAAAAGAAGGAAGGAAGGAAGGGAGGAAGGGAGGAAGGAGAAAGGAAGGTAGAGAGCAAGAAAAGAGGAATAAAGGAAGGAAGGAAAGAAGGAAGAAAGGAAGGCAGTAGAGAAGGAAGAGAGTGATTGCTCACATGTGAGATGGGAGAATATGAGATTTCCTATACCTGTGGCTTTGGGAAAGCCCTCCCCACTACATTTCAAGAGGGAATTTGTTCACATGAGGGAGAGAAATGTCTAATGGAATCTCTGGCATGATTTTCTGATAGTACATACCTGTATTTAGGTCCAATTTAATATGTAAAGGGCACAGCCCTCCAGAAGACAGCCCTCACTTCACAGTGTACATACATATTTCAATTATAATAGTATGGGAAGTATTCAAAAGTGTCTCAGTTTCCGTGGGATCTTGTGGATAGCAATGTGTGAAAAATGCTGATCTTCTGGTACTGTGTAAGGAATCCATAGTGAGGAGGCAGAAACTGAATCATAATCTACATACCGAATGCAAACTTCAAGATCAAATAAGCTGAGCAATGGAGAGAGGTGAGTGATTTGTGTGAATACTCCCCTCAACTATGAACCTGTAAGATAAGAATTTAAATATTTGAGAAACAGGTGTCAATGAGGTTCTAAATCAAAGGCCTTGACCCAGAACTTTCAAAGAACCCTTGTGGCTAAAATCATAAATAAACCGTGATAAATTTGTGTTCTTTGTTTTTATATAAGAGACTAAAGGCTGATTGACTAAAGCTTGTGTGAGAATGTACTTGCCAATCTGGATTTAATTTATGAAAATCACCTGTTAAGGAATCTCTTGGTTTCAAATTTAATATAACTTATTTGTACCTAGCTTATTAGTAATGAATGAATCAGGGCTGGTGTGGGAGTTTTGTGGGAGAGATAGTGCTTATCTTGAGGCCCTGAGATCAGTCCTCAGCATCAAAAGAATAAAACCGAGTAAACAAATAAGTTAACCAGTCTTTGGAAAATAAAATCAGAAATCCACTTAAGTGATTGTAGTTAAAATACAATGTTTTAATGCACAAGAGTTTCTGAGAATTATATATTACATTTATACAAAGACATTTACAGATGAAGTAATAAAATGCTTGGGATTCTTTAAATATGTTCAAAGGATTGAAAAGAAAGCAAGATGAATCATGGTTGAGGTGGAAAATTGATGCAAAGGATTCATGGGGCCCTTCTCTGTAGTTTTTTTATCTTAATAAATTTCCATGGGTTGTTGTGATAATTATTGTGGAGTCCCAGATACACAAGAGGCATAGATCAGGAGGATAAAGTTTCAAGGCCAGCCTGGGAAAACCATTTACAAGACTCCTATTTCAGTAAACGTGCCTGGTGTGGTGGCACCTTTCTGAAATCCCAGCTATGTGGGAGATAAATGTACAAAGACCACCATCTGCTGTTGGTGCACTCAAAAGGTATGAGACCCATTCTGGAAAGTATCTAAAATCAAAATGACCTGGGGAAAAACTCATATGGTATAATGATTGCCTAGCAAGCATGAGGCCAGGAGTGCAAACCTTGTACAACCAAACAAAAACATTTCCACAATGACAAATGTGCAGAAAGATAAAATCAAAACAAAAAATGGAAAAAGGAAACTGTCCCAGTTGAGGTGTGAATCCTTTGCTGGAGCCAGATGATCAATTTTCTAAAGTGCTTTCACCATTATCATAAATGAACCCAATTCCCTCCAAGGTTGTCTTTAAGGCCATGAAAAGTGGAGCTCACAATGTAGTAGAAGATAGAAGTAAGACAGGAACCTGAGAGCAAAGGAAGGGTCTGTGAGGGTGGCCATGGGTGGTCAAGGTCCAGAACTCAGGAGGAATTTGGGTTTTGTACAGTAAGCCATCTACAGTCACCATGGGGCGACCCTCCAGTCATCTATGAGGAAGGTCTCTTTGGAAACCTTGGAGGAAGAAAGAAAAAAGATGTGGCCATGGGTATTTCTAGAAAGACCAGTGCATCTAGGTTTGTGTGAAAGCAGATTTGTTTGTAATTGGAGTGAGGAAAAGTGATGGTTTCTGCATCAATATATCTGCATCATCATTGCACATCAAATTAAACCAGAGCAGTCAGAGAATGCATGTAGTGAAAACCCCACTCACAATAAAAACCAAGTGAACAACACCCAAGACAATTCCTGAGGCAAGCAAATAATACAAATATGCAGAAAACTAAATAATGTGAAGCTAATATTCACTTCATAAAATAAAGAAATACCTTCTCTATTTAGCAGGAAATATATAAATATAAACTTCACATTTTAAATCAAATATAAACCCTATGGAAAATCCTACACCATTGTATGACTTTGGAAATGTGCTATATTATGGCTTTTGAATCTACCTTTATCTTATTCCTGTGAAATTTGAATTCTACTACAATTCCTTGACTAGAACAGACTCCTTATGCCGTTCACTTATGCACAATGCACACTTGGGTCACATCCCATTTTCTTTGCCTTTCTTTTCTTTGACTTTCTTTATCTTTTTTTAGGAGTGTTGCCTTGATTGTCTCTTTTTCTCTCTTGCTCTCCATTCTACAATTTGCCCTCCTTCTCTCCTCTCCCTTTTTTCTCTCTCTTCCATCTAATGAGTAAATGAGAGATTGACCTGACACCCATATTATCTACCTAGACCAGCAGATCTGCTGCTCTTTGTTCAATATTTACAACAGAAACACAAAGAAAGGCTTTTCTTTTTAATCTTCCAAGCCAAGAGAACATTTCTCTCCAGAGGTTGTAAGGTTCCCCACATTCATGGTACATATATGTAACTGTGAATCAGAAGTCCAGCATGTATGACACTGGAGACCCATGTCTCTTATGTACGCAGTCTAGGATTTGTGGATCATACTCTGAGATCTGGATCTTTAAGGATGATGTTCTCTCTTTCTCCCAATCATCTATGGAACACTGCTAAATTCTCATGTTAAGGATAAAACTCCTATTATTAAGCAGATGCCTCTTAGTTCCACCACTTGTTCACTTTGCTCAGTTGAGTCTCAAAGAAGGTTCCATCTTACTTATCTTCTTTGGGTTCATGTTCAAATATATCATAGCTCTTGGGGTTGAAAGTTATAATAAATTGAATCCCATGGTGAGATCCCACCTGTTCCACCAGCAACTAACATGAGCACCAAGGGAGATGCTCTCTGACTCTTCCTACTTTGTAACAGCCTGTGGAACCCCAGATTCTCTCGTCAATCTAGTTTACTAATCCATTTGTTCTCTTCTCTTACCAGGTACAAAAAAGAACAAGATGGGAGTAATTGATTAATGGGTAAGGAGTGTTTTTATTTATTTCTTTGTTTTCTTTTTTAAGGGCTATAATTTAACACATTCACCATAACCTCTGTGTAGAACATATCAGGGTCCATCTCTTGAGAACAATGAAATTATGATCTTTAAGAAAAATTGGGCTTAGTAGTATGAAAGGGATGCTCTATTTAGGCCTATGTCAGGTGTTAAAGAGTGGCAAGTAGTGCTTACCACTGACCATCCAGGCAGAGCTATTGTGTCAAGGTACTCACATTGCCATAAAGAAGAATTTAGTACATCTGACCTCAGGTAGTCTGAGGTCCAGGATTATGAAAAAGAACAAAAATTGCACTACAAAATGTGGAGGATGTTAGAGGAGAGAGGTGGGGCAATAAGCACTAAAGAGGTGCAGTATAGCATGGAGACTGCTTGGCCGGGCATTTTAGCATACCCTTTAATTTACAGCCATGCAAGGATAGAACTTAGAGGATCATGGTCAAAGCCAGACCAGGAAAATGTATGAAAATCTAACTGGAAAAAAAAACCAAACAAACAAATACACCATAAAGGGCTGGAGTACATCTGAAGATGTTGAGCACCTACCTAACCAGCATCACTCCATCAGTTCAAACACATGTTCAGACAAAAAAAAACCTGAGATTGCACATTGTAACAGGAAGAGAAAACACAGGATGTATAGAGCGAACAAAAATATGACATGGAAGGACCTGTGTCCTAGATCAGAGGGTGTGTCCCTGAGTGTCTTGTGGAGGATCACGTAACATCCATTGTCAGGGGGCTGCTGTCCACTGCTCACCATCACAGCCTCTTGACCTGTCTAGCTCACACCCTTCCTCATGGTCTTTGCAGCACCACTCACAGGGAGAACTTCACACTTTGTGCTCTGATAAAGATTGTACAGCCCAGTGGAGAAGAAAAGATTTAGGGAAAAAAAAAGCCATTCTCTAGATATTGCAAAGTAGTAATCATGGAGATGGGAGATACTAGGTACAGATGTCTGATCAATACAAAAGAAAAAGCCCTCTTTGCAGGACCAGGTCAGAAAGAAGAGGAAACTGGCTACATAG